CAGCCAGGGAGCGGGTTGGGCCATGGAGGCTTGCCCCACTCCACCTGCCCGGCATTCCAGCCAGGGAGTGGGCAAACCCCTGACCTCACTCCCCAGCAGGAGTGACAGGCAGGCAGAACGGGGCAAGCCCTGACCCTGCTCCCTGGCTGGAATGCCGGGTGGGCAGAGCGGGGCAAGCCCCCGCGCCTGAGCCCCGCTACGCCCCTGCCTCAACCAAGCTTCACAATCATCATTGGTGAGTACAGTATTAAATTGTTTAAAATGATTTCAAATTTATCCTGTATATGTATATAATTTCTTTTGTGTGGTGAAAAAAATTTCCCTGGAACCTAACACCCCCCGCCCCTCCCCCGCATTTACATTAATTCTTATGGGGAAATTGGATTCGCTTAACATCGTTTCACTTAAAGTAGCATTTTTCAGGAACATAACTATGTTAAGCGAGGAGTTACTGTATCTCGGTCATTTCCCAGAAAAGAAATGCAAACTATTAAGGGCCAACTATTAACTGGCGCAGTTCCATTGGCTCCAAAAGTCTAAATGGGGGAGACACAGCAAGTGGCATTCTCTGAATTCTTTGAAGGCATTACGGAAAGCTTTAAAATATTTTGCAATATATATAGAGAGAATATCATAGAGTGCTAGATAGTAGGCAGAGATACAGATATCAACATAAGAAAGAAAAAAGAAGACTTTGGAAAAAGTGGTTGTTTTATACATTTTATTAGACTCAAAAGGAATCAGTTGAGAAGGATACTACACAGACACTTTGGAAGCTGTTAAATGCTTGGTGGACATTCCAGTAGGCATGTTCAGTTACTCCTTGTGTCTCTCACTCACTTTTGACATCATACCAAGTCCCAAAAGATCTCTATTATTAAAATATCCTTGATTCTTAGACAGACCCAAGATATTTTGATTAAAGGAGGAGCGCTATTGTGACTTTCCTTCCTTTATTGCTCCACCCAAGATAAAGTGGACAGGATGTTGTACAGCATTGTGCCTGCTGTCAGTGTATGGTCTTGTGAAAGGTGCTGAATTTCAAATTCTGTACTCTCATTGCACTGCATATATTTAGTGCCAATGTGATTTGTTTCACATAGAAAGCTGAACAAAAGGCTAGATTTTCAGGATTTCCTGCTTGTTTCTAATATGCTCAATTAATACCTTTTGTTTCAAAGTGAATTATATGAGTGACCGAGAGTTAAGGTCCTGATGCACCAAGGCACTTCAGTATCTGCTAAAGTTTATGCTTAAGGAAATACTTATTTATCAAAGCACGTAAGCATGTATTTAAGTCCCATTGATTAAAACTGGCTTTTGATAGGCCCTAAAAGCTATTCATATACATTCCTTGTAGTTTTAATGATAGAGGTTTTAATTTGTTTCATATTTTCTTCCTACATTTCTATTTTTACTTTTCTTTCTTATCCCAAACGAGCTTGTGACCTCA